ATCTATCTATCTATCTATCTATTTGTTTATTCATTCATTCATTCATTTATTTATCTATTTATTTACTTATTTGCTTATTTATTTATTAATCTATCTATTTATGTATTTATCTATTTATTTATTTCTTTACTTATTCACTTATTTATTCATCTACCTATTTATGTATTTATTTATTTTTGTTTTTGTTCATTTGTTTATTTATTTAGGCTAGGCAATGGGGTTAAGTGACTTGCCCAACAGCTAATAAGTGTAAAGTGTCTTAGGTAAGATTTGAACTCAGGTCCTCCTGACTCCAGGGCCGGTACTCTATCCACTGTGCCACCTAGTTGCCCCAACAGGGCATTTTTAGAGGCGTAAATGAGGAACTTTAAAATGGGGAACATAAACAATAAACGAGAAACATTGATCACAGATTGAGGAGCACGATATTGATTACCATGGGCATTTGTGATTTCTGATGGGCCAGAGCAGGGGGGAGGGGGAAACCTGTGGCCTCGAGGCCATGTGGGGTCTTCTAGGTCCTCGAGTGCAATCTTTCAGTCAAAGGGTGGGCCAGGATATTACAAGAGTTTCCATTAACATCATGGAATCTGTCTCGTATGAATATCTCTGACAAGAACCGGGAACCTTCACAGGAATAGGGAATTTTTATAGATTAGCAGCACTCAAGGTGTGGGTATTCCTAGCCCCATATAATTATGATTTATAATCTATAACAAGGCTTTTACTACTCTCCGCTACACTCTGCAGGAGCTTAGCTTTACTAGTAGGGCACTTGGCTGGAAACAATGCCCTTCGAACCTGTATATGGTCACACACACACTTCTTAACTTATTACAGTGTAAATTTATTAAAAGCAAATGACTGGTTACAACTTGGTACTGTCTGTAGTGGGGACATGCTAGAAGCCTTTCTAATAAGCTCAGGGACCGATCAATCAATCAATCAATCAATGAACAAGAAGCCTGCAGTCTAGTGACACTACATACAAACAAGTTATATACAGGAAAATAGTGAATAATTAACCGAGGCAAGGTACTGGAATTAAGAGGGATTGGAGAAGGATTCAGGTAGAAGGTAGAATTTTAGCTGGGACTTAAGGAAGCCAGGGAGGCTGGTAGTTGGAGCAGAGGAGGGGGCTCGGCATGGAGGGACCACCTGAGAGAATGCTTGGAGCTGAGAGATGGGCGTCTTGTTTGTGGAATAGCCAGAAGGCCGGTGTCACTGGACTGAAGAGTATATGTTGAGGTGAAAGAGGCAAGAAGGCTGGAACCGGAAGAGGGGGGTGGGCCATGGAAGGCTTTGAATGCCAAAGGGAGCATTTTGTATTTGCTGCCAGAGGCACTGAGTAGGGACAGTAACGTTGTCAGACCTGCATTTTAGAAAAATCACTGTAGTGGCTGAGTGGAGGGTGGACCGGAGTGGGGAGAGACTTGAGGCAGCAGACCCCCCCCCCCAAGCAGCTATTGTAGTAATCCAGGCCTGAGGCAATGAGGAATTGCCTCAGAGTCGGGGCAGAGTCAGGGAGGAGAAGGAGGTGTATTCAAGAGACGTTACAGTGGTGATATTGACAGGCCTTGGCACCATATTGGATGTTGGGGGGGGGCAGTGAGAAATAGTGAGGAGTCCAGGACGAGGTGGGGAGCCTGAGGGACTGGGAGGAGAGTGGGGCCCTCTGCAATCACAGGGAAGGTAGGAGAGAAGGGAGGGTTTAGGAAGGAAGATGATGAGGTCTGTTTTAGACACAGAGTTCAAGATGTCTGCTGGATGTTCCATTGGGGATTTCTGAAAGACAGCTGGAGATTTGAGATGGGGGTCAGCAGAGAGTTCAGGCAGGAAAAGGGGACTGAAGAATCATTAGCACAGAGATGGTCATCAAGTCCCTGGGAGGTGATGAGATCACCTAGTGAAGTGGTAAAGGGGGAGAAGAGCAGAGGGCCCAGGACAGAGCCCTGGGGGTCATGTAGGCTTAGAGGGTGTGACCTGGAGGAGGATTCAACAAAGGAGAAGGAGAAGGAGCGGTCAGGGAGGGAGCAGGAGAACCGGGATGTGGGCGGGGAAGAGTGGCCTGAACACCCAGAGAGGAGAGAACACTAGGGAAGAGGGGGTGATGGACAGTGTTTGAGGCTGCAGAGAGGCCAAGGAGAAGGAGGATGGAGAAGAGGCCGCTGGATTTGGCACCTAAGAGGTCACTAGTAACTTTGCAGAGAGCAGTTTCAGCGGAATGTTGAAATAGGAAGCTGGATTGTAAGGGGTTAAGAAGAGAGTGAGAAGAGAGAAAGTGGGGGCCCCAAGGGAGGCAGCTTTTCCAGGAGTTTAGCTACAAAGGACAGAAGAGATGGAGGTCGATAGTTAGCAGGGATGGAAGGATCAAGTGTGGGCTTTTCAGGATGGGGGAGACACGGGCAGGTTTACCGCCAATAGGAAATAGGTAGAGAGGGAGAGATTGAAGAAAAGTGACAGAGTAGGGATGGGGAGGCAGTCTGTTGGGGGAGAGGGGATGGAATTGGGGTCACTCGAACACGGACAGGGGTCAGCCTGGGTAAGGGGTGAGACCACTTCATCCTGTGAGACAGGGGTGAAGGTGGAGAAGGTGGCACGGGGCACCTGAGTGGTAGGAGATGAGGAGGAGGGAAGGGAGCTCACAGCAGATGGCTGAAATTTTTTTTTCTGGATAATGTAAGGCAACATTCTCAGCTAAGAGGGCTGAGGAGAGCCAAACATGTCCGTCATCACCATTATTATTTAATATTGTAGTAGCAATGCTAGCTCTAGCAATGAGCCAAGACAAAGAAGGGGAAGGAATCAGAATAAATAGCAAGGAAACAAAACAATCCCTCTCTGTAGACGATATGATGATATGTACTTAAACGACCCCGGGAATGAACTAAAAAACTCATTGAAACAATGACCAATTTCAGGAAAGTTTGCAAGACAGAAGATAAGCCTAGATAAATCACCAGCGTTTCTGTATACCAGCAACAAAACCCAGCAGGAAGAGATAGAAAGAGAAATTCCACTTAAAATCACTGGGGGAAGAAGTCACCATTTGACAAACACTGTTGGGAAAACTAGAGATCAGGTTGGCAGAAACTAGGTGTAGGGCAACATCTCACACCTTATCCAGGGGTGGGGAACCTGCAGCCTCAGGTTCTAGGGTTCCCTGCCCCTGCTTATACCAAGATAAGCTCAAAATGGGCACTTGGTTTAGACACATGGGGTGATATCGTAAGCAAATTAGTAGAGCATGGAAAAAACTATCTGTCAGATCTATAGGTAGGGGAAGAGGTCATGGCCAAACAAGAATTAGAGTTTCACAAGAGGTAAAATAGATAATTTTGATTACATAAAATTAAAAAGTTTTTGTACAAACAAAATAAGTGTAGCTAAAATTATTATTTTAAAAACATATTTTCATTTCATCAAATGTTTCCCAATTATATGTAAATAAATTTTAACATTCATTTAAAAAAATTTTTGAGCTCAAGATTCTCTCCCTCCCCACTCTTGAGAAGTCACAAAAAATATATTTCCATATTTGCCATGTTGCAAAAGAAAACACAGACAAAAAAGGAGAAAAATGAAGAAAGTCAAAAAAATATGCTTCAATTTGTGTTCAGAGTTCATCAGTTTTCTCTCTATAGGTAGGGAACATTTTTCATCATCGTTTCTTTCAGAATTGTCTTGGGTCAATTCAGCTAAAATTATAAGAAAAGCAAAAAACAAGAAAAATTCTTTGCAGCAAGTTTCTCTGATAAAGGCCTCATTTCTCACATATGTAGGGAGCTGAGCAAAATTTATAAGAATAAAAGCCATTATCCAATTAATAAATGATCAAAGGATATAAACAGGCATTGTTCAGATGAAGAAATCAAATCTATATATGGTCATGTAAAATGCTCTAAATCACTATTGATCAGAAAAATGCAAATTAAAACAACTCTGAAGTACCAACTCATACCTATCAGATTGGCTAATATGATAGAAAAGGAAAATGACAAATGTTGGAGGAGATGTGGAAAAAATTGGAACACTAATGCATTGTTGGTGGAGTTGTGAACTGATCCAACCATTCTGGAGAGCAATTTAAAACTACGCCCAAAAGGCTATAAAACTGTGCACATCCTTTGACTTAGCAATGCCACGACTAGGTCTGTATACCAAAGAGATCAAGGCAAAAGGAAAAGGACCCATATGTAAAAAAATATTTATAGCAACTCTTTTTGTGGTGGCCAAGAATTGAAAATCGAGGGGAAGCTCATCGGTTGGGGAATGGCTGAACAAGCTGTGGTCTATGAATGTAATGGAATGCTGTTGTGCTATAAGAAATGGTGAGCAGGTCGACTTCAGAAAAGCCTGGGAAGATTTATATGAGTTGATGCAAAGTGAAATGAGCGGAACCAGGAGAACATCGTACACAGTAACAGCCACATTGTCTGATGATCAGCTGTGAATGACTTAGCTGTTCTCAGCAATGCAATGATCCAAGACAATTCCAAAGGACTCATGATGAAAAATGCTCTCCACCTCCAGAGAAAGTGGTGGAGTCTGAATGCAGATTGAAGGAGATTTTTTTTCTTTTTTTTTTTCCCCTTGACATGACTAATGTGGAAATTTGCTTTGCATCTCTATACCTTTTTGTAATGGGTTTTGATTTCTTGCATTCTCATTGGGGGTGAGGGAAGGAAGAGAATTGGAACCATGAAAATGAAACAAAATTGAATTTTAAAAAAGGAAAGTGGTGCGGGGAGAGGGGGGAGGGCGCTGGCCTTGCTGATCCCCAAGTTCCCTCCTGGCTGGAACACCAGAAGAGCTGCTTCTTTTTCTTGCTTGTTAAGGGTTACGAAACACTTTCTTACTAACAGCCCTGGGAGGGTTAGGGGAGGCAGACTTATTATTTTACTGAGGAGAAAACAGATTCACAGAGGGAGGGGGGTGTATGTGTGTGTGTGGGGAGGGGGGTAGGGGATGTCAACAAGCACTGAGCTGATGAGCGCTTATGGTCGATGCCAAATCCAGGACTCCTGGCTCTCCAGACAGGTATTTTTCTATGACAAGGAATCACTGACTCACAGGACTGGGAGAGGCTTTAGAATGTGAAATGTCAGGGCTGGGGGGGAGCCTCAGAACAGGGAATGTCAGGGCTGGAGGGGCTGAGAACAAGGGATGTCAGGACTGGTGGGGGCTGAGAACAAGGGGTGTCAGGGCTGGGAGGGAGCTGAGAACAGAGGATGTCAGAGCCAGAGTGGCCTTGGAACAGAGAATATCAGATCCTTAATCAGATCCTTAATTGGAAAGGTTCCTAAAGTCCCTAAGGAGGATCCTGTAATCTAAATCCCTCAGTTTACAGATGGGGAAACCAAGTCTTGGGCAAGGAAAGTAGCCTGCCTAAAGTCAGACGGTTTGGGCCCTGGTACTCTGGCATCTCAAGACCTCGTAGCCTCCTCGAGGTTGAAGGCTGTGCCTCCTCTGGTCTCCTCGGTCCTCCCTCTGTCCCTCTCTCTGAGCCCAAGAGGCTGAGCAGGCTTGGCTGGACAAACGACTGAAGCTGCTGCTCCTTCCTTCCCCTCCCACCTCCAGCCAGGAGCCTCTGTGCCTTTAATAGATGCTTGCCAAGGGGGCAGGCTGCCCTGGGCAGACCAGCTCATCACTCCCTGTGCTGACTCATAGGCATGAGCATGGGAGTGCTGGGGTCCCTGCGTGGATGGGGGCTTCTGGACTACAAGACAGAGAAATATGTCCTCACCCGGAACCGGAGGGTGGGTGCTCTCCAGAGGGTCCTGCAGCTTGGCATCCTGGGATATGTAATCGGGTAAGGGAGGAGGGGTCCCTGCGGGGAGAGGGGTAAGAGAGGAGGGGTCCTTGTGGGGGGCGGGGTAAGAGAGGAGGGGTCCCTGCGGTGGGAGGGGTAAGAGAGGAGGGGTCCTTGTGGGGGGCGTGATGAGGGGGACTGTAGAGGTCATGAGAAGAGACAGCAGCCTTGGCTCCAGCTCCCTGGGAAAGGGAACTGGGGACAGACTTTGCCACAGACCAGGTGATCTTGGGCAGGTCCTTTCCTGTGGATGGGCCTGTTTCCTCCCGTGTAACGTTAGGGGTTTGAGCTACGTGGTTCCCTTCCAGCTCTGACACTCTGGTAAGTGGCTGTTGAATGACTTGCCCAGGAAAATACAGCTAATACACGTCTGAAGCAGCACTTGAACTCGGGTCTTGCTGACTGTCAGTCCAACACACTGTCCACAGGGCCGCTTGGCAGCCACATAGGTGGCTTTTTAGCCGAAGACCCTTCCCACAAAGCACCCTGATTCAGAATTCTAAGTCTACTCCCCACCTACCCTTTCTGGCCTGTGAAGGCCAGAAAAGACCTCAGATCATTGAGTCCGACCTTGAGCACAGTGCAGGAATTTCCTCTATAACCTGCCTGTCCAATGATCCCTTAGCCAGTGCTTGAACACTGTGGGGGACAGGGAGCTCACTACCCGGAGGGACAAGGCAAAGGAGACAAACAGCATCCAGTCCTGACTACATGGTAGGAGGGAGAGCCAGATAGGACTGGGGCTCAAACCCCAACCCCAATGCTTACTGTCCGTGTCACCCAGCCCTCTGAGGTGGGAAAATGCATTCCACGTTCGAGAAACAATCTAGCGTCCAGCTTGGGTGGGAAGGGTCATAATAGTGAGAATGAAGCCTCCGAGGTGGCTTGGAAGTCTGTGCTGAGGACCTTTGGGGCAGGCAAGGAGAATGTTCTGCACCCCGGGAGGCAGAAGGAAGCCCTTGATCGGGGGAGGGACAGAGTGAGACCTCTCTGTGCCTTCAGATGGGTGGGAGATGGGGAGTCCGAGGCAGGGAGGAAGGCCATTTGGGAGGGGGTGACAATGGTCCGGGTGAAAGAGGGGGAGCAGATTTACTGATGGGCCAATCCACCCGAAAAGCCCCTGCAGTGAGGGGGGGTGCGAGATCAAATCCGGGGCACACCCAGGTGTTGACGCTCTCATCATAGACTTTCCTCAACTTGTGGCCATCAGTTTGGTTTCCCAGCCTCCTGCACTAACGGTGCTCCCAGGGGATCCAGACTTCTGTCCCTCTCTGAGACGATGTGTGCGGAAGACCAAGGAGGTCCCTGATCTCTCTGGGGAGGCCTGTCCCCCTCCCCGCCCCGACTACCTTCCTGATGGCGAAGGCTGACCCATCAGCAGATGGACTGAAGACTGACCGATGGACCCAGTGACCCCATGAAGGAGGGAGGGAATGACCAAGGGGGAGAGGAAGTACCTTGGGTCCTTTCTACTGTTACCGAGGTCTATTATTTTCCTGGGTAGGTGGTCCCTTCTCTTCAAGAAGGGTTACCAGGAGAAGGAGTCTGATCCCCAGGTATCGGTCATCACCAAGCTCAAGGGGGTCTCTGTCAGCCAGATTGAGGCGCTAGGAAACAGACTGTGGGATGTGGCCGATTACACGAAGCCCCCCCAGGTGAGGCTCTCCTTTCTTCCAGGGTGAGGACGCTTCCTCCCTTTCCTGCTAGACACGGGTGCAGGAGGCCAGGTTCCATCACCGGCCTCTGCCAGCCTGTCCAGCACCAGCCTTGTTCCCGGCTGCTTCCGCCCTCACACGTCTTTCCTGTTTCGCCTGCTGAATCCTCCTCCATCCCTTAAAGCCCATTTCCAATGCCACTTCCTCCAGGAAGCATTCCCTGGTCTTTCTATTGGTGACAATCTTCCCCAGACTCACTTGGCACATTGTCTGGGAATATTGCACATCCTGGCTACAGATGGTGAGTGCTTTCAATCAATCAACAGGCATTTACACGATGGATACTGTACTGGGGCTACAGAGACAAAAATAAACAGTGCCTCCCCTCAGTGAGATTCCTTTTGATAAAGGGAAGACAGCCTGTGCACATATAAATAGATGCAGAGGGAAATCCGAGGTAACCGAGGCTCCCCTGGAGCAGAGGCACTGGTAGCCAGTGAGGGAAGGAGGGACCAGAAAAGCCCTCTCTTGGTTGGAGCTTTGACTAGGCAGAGATGAGAACATGCCTGTCAGGCATAGGGTACAGCCTGGGCAAAGGTGGGGAGGTGGGAGAGGGAGTGTCTCATGTGATGAACGGCAAGAAAGCTTGTTTTCGCCGGATCCTAGAGCGATAGATGACAGGAAGGCTGGAAAGGTAGGACAGAGCTAAACCGAAGGAGTCTGTATTTTATCTTAAAGGTCTTTATTAAAAATTCCTAATACAAATTAGGAAGCCTCTGAAGGATGTCAGGCCGGGAGGAATGGGGTCAGACCTAAGCTTTAGCAATAGAGATTAGGAGGGGGAAGCTAGATGGCACAGTGGATGGAGCACTGGCCCTGGATTCAGGAGGACCTGAGTTCAAATCTGGCCTAAGACACTAGCTGTGTGATCCTAGGCAAGTCACTTAACCCCGTTGCCTAACCAAAAAAAAAAAAAAAGAAATAGGGATTAGGCGCTAAAGCCCCATCAGGGAGAGGACTGTGCTTTATCTAAGCCTTGCATCTTCCCAACACAGGGCTCTGTATATAGTTGATATTTAATAACTATTTTGTGGAAGGCATATTGAATTAGAAATAGTGCGGAGTTGTGGGGAGAGGGCAGGACGAGGAGAGGTGGGGAAGGGGCTCCAGCTGAGGAGGCCATTTGGGACGGGGAAGGGCCCGGTGCCTCAGTCATCCCAGCACCATTCCCAAGAACTGAGGGTGTTCAGCCCCTCCAAGAAATGGCTGGGGACAGGATCATCGGCCGTCGATGTCTCTGAGTATTTTAGAGGGCTCCCGGTGTGGTTCTGCTTGTCTGGGGCAGAACAAGGCGGCGGGGGAAGGGGGCGAGGAGGGAAGTTTGGGGTGTATATGTGTGCGTGTCTACACTGTAGTATGATTGTTTCTGGGGATGGGGGATGCTGGGGATGCTGGGGAGGAAGGACCCTTTAGGATGAGGCCTGTGTCCCCGGGAGGCCGTGAGCAGAAAGCACACCCCAAGCAGAGGTTACTTTTGGCACCCTCTGATTTCAGCCCCTGGGGGCAAGGCTCTGATTGTCCTGCCTTAGTTCTGTCTCTGAGGCCCCTTCCAGATCCGAGCTCTAAGGTTACCCTGGGTCCTCAGAGAAGTTCTAGCTCAGGCCTTTCGTCTCTTAGGGAGAAAACGTTTTTTTCCTGGTGACCGATTTCCTTGCCACACCAGAGCAAGTGCAGGGGACGTGTCCAGAGGTAAGACCCTTCTTGGAGCCCCTTGCCACCCTGGGGTCTTTGGCAGGCCCCAGTCCTGGGGAGGAGGGAGAGCGAGAGCTCCAGCTTCCCTCCCCTGCCCCCAGCTCAGCCCAGGGAGAAGACCTGGAGGGAGCTCTTGGCTGCCCTGGGGGCCAGAGGAGGCCCTGGGTTTCCCTGTGCTCCCAGCCCTTTGGGTCAGGCTGGCTGTGGGCTGCTATCTCAAGGCTGTCAGAGGGAGGGCCTTGTGATGCCCAGATTACAGAAGCCCCTGAACTTCTGAAACAGCGCCAAAGCGCCAAAGCCAATTCCACTGAATACAGCCAACAAACATTAAGAGCCTGCTGTGCTGTCAAGGGAAAGTCCGGTGTAGTGGTGAGAGTGCTGGACCGGCTGGTCACAAAGAGCTGGGTTCAAATCCCACTCCTGACACTTAGAAGTGGGTGGTCTCAGACAAACCACTTAGGCCCCTCTGAACCTCAGACAACTCTCCAGATGGGCTGTGATCTGTCTTGGTGGAGGGGCCTCCCACACTGATGACATCACACACGTATGACCCATGGACATATATGTATGAGGCACCCAAACCCTCAGCCCTCAGATGCTGAGAATATCGGAGGTGGGGAACATGTCAGCCCACCCTCCCGTCCCATGCAGGCATCTCCGTATCTTCTCTAACAGGGAGTTATACCTGCAGTGATGGGGAGCTCACTACCTGACATGGCAGCCCACTCCACTGTTAGGATGGTCTTCCTAATTGCTCTGATAGGGGTTTGGGGACTGAGGTGTTCTGGTCGGAGGAGTTCAGAGGGTCAGGCATTCTCTCTTAGTCTCAAGAGGTTGGGCTGTCAAAAACTTTGCGTGAAGGAAAAGGGACAGGTGCTATAGGAGAATGGATAGAAAGGAATGTGTCCCTGGAAGGCAGGGCAGCGGAGGCTCCCTTGGGCGGGCCAAGCAGGACCAGGCTAATCCCTCCTTCCCCTGTCAGTCCTTCAAATAAGGGAAGACAGTCTCCCTGTTACCCCGAGTCTCCCTCTTTTCCCCTGTCCTCTGGTCTCCTTCCTCTCTTCTGCTCTGTTCTGACGTCCTGTCTCCCCTCTCCTCCCTCTCCCCTCTCCTTCCTTTCCCCTCCTCTCCTCTCCCTCCCCTTCCCCCTTTTTTCCTCCTCTCCTCTGGTCTCCCTTCCTCTCTTCTGCTCTGCTCTGACCTCCTGTCTCCTCTCTCCTTCCCCTCTCCCTCCCCATCTCCTTCTCTCCCTCCTCTCCTTCCTCCTCTCTCTCCCTCTGCCCTCTCTGGGTTTCAGTTTCCTCCTGGTGTGATGACGGGAGGTGAGCGTGGGGGTGGACTAGATACTCTCTGAAAGCCCTCTGTGATTCTGGGGGGATCTATTTCTTTGGAGGGATCGTAGCTCACGCTTCCCCTTCTTTCCCCCACCCCAGCACCCCTCTGTTCCTCTGGCTCCCTGCCTGGCTGATGAGGACTGTCCGGTTGGAGAGATACTGAGCCACAGCCACGGTACCGATCTCACGCCTCGTTCCCCACCCCAGCGACCTCCCAAGTGTGCTGAGCACTGACGACCAGAGGGTGCTCCTGGGGGGCAGCTGGGTTGGAATCCCAGGATCTGAGTTCAAATCCTGATGGTCTCCTGTGTGACCTTGGGTCACCCCTGAATTCTCCAGGCCTCAGTTTCCTCTTCTGTAAAAATGAGGGGAGGGGGTTTGGTCTCCAAGGTTTCTCCCAGCTCCAAATCCCATGGCCCTGTGATCTTCCTCTTAGACCAGAGATGCTTGGCCCTGGTCCTAACCCAGGCTGGAGCCCAAGTGGCCCCAAGCTCAGAGAGGAAGGACTCAGTTGGCTTCTGTTCCAGGAATCAAAACTGGGAAGTGCATCATGTTTAACTCAACCTACCAGACCTGCGAGATCTGGGGCTGGTGCCCTGTGGAGAGCGGCAGCACGTCCAGGTCTGCCCGTCCCCTGCTCTGACCTGCCTGCTCCATCCCAGAGTAGTCGAAAGGAGCCCCTGCACTTGGGACTTGCCCACCAGGGCAAGTGCCCTGGATTCAAGTCCTGGCTGGGTGACTGAATGCATCATGTCACTCCTCTGAGCCTCAGTGTCCTCATCTGTAAAATGGGGATAATAATACACATCGCTGCCCCCCTCCTGGGGTTGCCGTGAGGAAAGTGGGAAGGGAGGGGAGAAATCCCTGGCGGGTCAGGAGAGCTGGATTTGAGGCTTCATTCTATGGCTAACTCACTGGTGACCTTGAGGAAGTCCCCTTTGTAAAATTGGTGGAGTCACCCTGGCTTTGCCCCTTCCTGAGGCTCCTGGGAGGCCGAGGGTCTGCAGTGGGCCCACTTGCCGTTGTGTGCTGAGGGGCAGCCTGGGGAGGGCCTGGCAGGCTGGGGCCTCAACTGTCTGCATCTCCCCCTCCCAAAGGAAGCCCCAGCTGCTGGAATCGGAAAACTTCACCCTCTTCATCAAGAACTCCATCACCTTCCCCAAGTTCAACTTCTTCAAGTAAGTGGCTGGTGTGGGAGGTGGGGTGGCTCTGGGGAAGAGCCTCCCCCGAGGCTGAGTGAGGGGGCTGGACTGGGGGAGCTCTGAGGCCCTCCACCCACCCACCCAAGCTTGGACATTGTGTTCCAAAGTCCCTCCCAGCCCTGACCTTCCCTGTTCTAAGGGCCCTCCCAGCCCTGACTCTCCCTGCTCTAAGGGCCCTCCCAGCCCTGACCCTTCCTGCTCTAAGGGCCCTCCCAGCCCTGACCCTCCCTGTTCTAAGGGCCTTTCTAGGTTCTAAGGGTTCTCAGTCCCATGGTCCCACCATTCTAGGAGCTCTGTTGAATTCTGGGGTGAGAAGCCACCTTCTCTTTTGTTTGGGAATGTTGTTCCCCTTTCCAATGTCCCTGCTGGACACACAGGTGGGCTTTTGTCCCTCAGGACCAACACTTTGGAGACATTGGATAGCACCTACTTCAAGAGCTGCAGGTATGACGCCCTCTTCAGCCCTTTCTGTCCAGTCTTCCGGGTGGGGGATGTGGTGGAGGCAGCTGGAGAGGACTTTGAGGACCTGGCCCTCTCGGTAAGTGGACCTGGGGGTGCGAGCTCCCTGGCCTCACCCTTGGCCCCAGTCCCATGACCCCCAATCTATACCCACACACAGAGGGGCCCCATGACCAGGCTGGATGGGCCTCCGCCCTGCTGCTTTGAAGGGCAGGGATAAAAAGTGGGGGCAGTGGAGCACTGCATGCAAACTCAGAGGACTTGAGTGCAAATCCTTACTCTGTCACTGCCTACCTGGTGGACCTTGGGCAAGTCACCTCAGTGCCCTAAGTTAGCCTAGGTAGCCTCTGAGATCAGACTAGGTAGGAGCCCACAGTCCTAGCCATGGATACTGCATGCCATGCGGGTGTGAAATGCCCTCTCTTGGCTTCAGTCTCCCCTTCTGGCTCTGCTATGCTGTGATTCCAGTGTTCTGGGGACTCTGGGTCCTGACCCCCCAGCCCTGGCTGGAAGCCCCTGCTCGCAGTGACCGGCGGGCTCCTGCTTTTGGCAGGGGGGAGTTGTGAGGATTCAGATCAGCTGGGACTGTGACTTGGATCGCCCTGGCATTGAATGCCAGCCCTGTTATTCTTTCTGGCTGCAGGAGAAGGGCTATAACTTCAGGTGAGGGTCCAGGCCCCGCATTTGGGGAGGGAAGACAGGGTGTGTGTGTGTGTGTGCTCATTCACTGCTGGGGAGGGAGCTGAGGGGCCACTGTCCACCCTGGTGTGGTCTGTTCAAGGGTTCCTGTGTCTTCCAGCTCTCCTTGCTGTGCCTCCTCCCCACTCAGGGCCTCAGTTTCCTTTTCTGTAAAATGAGAGACTGTCTCAGGTCCTGAGCAGCCTCTCCCTTCAACTCTGGTCATCCAGGGTCCTGTTGTCCCCATTCTCCAGGACAGCTACGCATTGGTGGAAGCCTCCGGGGATGGAGGCTCGAAGCCTGTTCAAACTCTTTGGGATCCGATTTGAAATCCTTGTGGCTGGGCAGGTAGGGGCTGGGCCCGGGTGCATGGTGGGATGGAAGCTGGACAGCCCAGCAGTCGATGTAATGGGTCAGGGGGCCTCCTCTGGGCTGGGTCCAGCCAGCTCCTGAGTTCCCTCTTCATGATGGTCACTTATCAGAAATGCTCTATGGGGGAGCATCCCCTTCACTGGCAGGGGATTGGACCAGATGACCTTTGGAGAACAGCAGGGTGAGGACAGTGGAAGAAGGGGGGAAGAGGCCATAAGACCCAGGCTCGGATTTCATTGTCTGCTTGACCTTGGCCAAATCCCTCCTCTGGGCCTCAGCTTCCTCATCTGTCAGATGAGGGGGCTGGATTATATGGTCCCCCAGGTTCCCTCCAACTCTGGGTCTGTGAGCCTACGACTCTATTTTGATGACCTCAGGCCTCAGTACCCTTATCTGCAAAGTGTGTAGGTCAGACTAGGTTATTCCTAAGAGACCTTCCTGTCTAAAGCCCCTGATCCACCCCACCAGCCTATAATAAGGGGCCCAATCTGAGGCTGTGCTGGGAGCTCCCGGTGGGGGAGGCCTGTGGCCTGAGGACCTCCCCTCTCCCAGGCAGGGAAGTTCAGTGCCATCTCTACAGGGATCACGCTAGGCACAGGCATGGCCCTGCTAGGGGTGGTGAGTCTGCTGCCAACCTTTCTCTCTGGCAATGCCATAGGTATGTGTGTTGGGGGTGGCATGGGAGAAGGGACCCTTGGAGTGGGGTATGTACTCCTGGGGGAGGAGGAAGATACCTCTCTTCAGTCCCTGGAGACTTGGATCTGGTGGGGAGTGGGGTGCTCTGGCTAGCCTAGCACTGTCCTCCCCTGTAGGTCACCTTCCTCTGTGACCTGCTCTTGCTTTATGTGGATGGAAAAGCTCCTTTCTATTGGGGGAAGAAGTATGAGGAGGTGAAAGGCTCCTTCCTCTCTGCTCCTTGTCCCATGACTGAGCCTGGCCTGGGGGTCTGTCTGTTCCCAGGGGCAAGGACTGGCGGGGCTGTGGGAAGGGCTGGGGGCTTCATCTGAAGCTGGAAGGGACCTGTAGTCCAACGCCCTCATTAATACATTCAGTGGGTGGCTGAAGGTCATGCAAGTATCTGGGTCAGGCCCCCTGACTCTCCCTTGGGCTCCCCACCCCACTGGGCTGGGGCTCATTCTGCTTGGGGCAAAGGCTATGATGGGTCACTGAACAGCAAAGGAAGCATCCATCCTGGTGGCTTCTGCCCAGGCCCATTCCCGTCATCTCTGATGTCCTTTGGGCCAGGCACCAGGGCCTGAGCCATCTCTCTGCCTGCAGGCAAAGGCCCCCAAGATCAGGGGAGAACAAGAGCGAGCCTCGGCACCGGGGGATCACGAGGGGCCCGGAGGCTCGCAGTCACAGTTGAGCCCAGCCACGGATTCCGATCTCACCGCTGGCAAGGAGGGCCTGGATGCTGGCATGGCCTAGCCTAGGGCTGCCCAAAGGACCCCAGCAACACCATTTCCATGCCCCTGGGGCTCCAAGGCTGTAGTTCATTTATCACTGCCCTTCCTGAAAGAGCCCCAGGATGGCTCCTGAGACCTGAAACAGCCACATGGGCATGGTTCTGGGCAACAGTGGCATGGGCTCCTCCTTTCTAGGGGCTCCTGTTCAGGGAGCCTGAATCCTGGCCTGGGCTGGCCCGTGCCTCACTTTCCTGATCTGTTAAATGAGGAGGTGCACCAGACGGCACCTGAACTCCTCGATCCTTTGCCCTAGAGCTCCTCCAGAGGCTCTGACCTCCATCCACAGACCTTCTGGGCACCTTCCTCTGCCTCTGACTTTGGGACCTAGAGTCTGCCCACCCTGCTTCTCAGATCACTCCAGCCCCTGCAATAATGAGAAGACCTCTGCCCCAACTCTGTGACTTATTGGGGAGGTGTGTGTGTACGTGACTGTGTGTGGGTGTATGTGAGTGTGTGTGGGTGTGTATGTATGCGTGTGTGTGGGTGTGTGTGCACATGCATGTGTGTGTGTGTGCACACACGTACACATGTGTAAAAGGGGGGAGGTGCACAGACCTCAGACTTAGCGCTTGAAGGGGCCTCAGTGGCTCAGCCACCCAGACACGAAAGGGATCCCCATACCACCTTCCCAACAAGTGGCCAAGCTGCCTTTGCTTGGAGACATCTAATCACAGAGAGTTCATCACCCCTGAGCCAGCCCACTCCACTTTGGGATAGCAATCCTCAGTATGCTTTTCCCCTACAAAATAACTTGTCATGGTAAAGTCTGTAAAACTCCAGGGCACTGAGCTCCCTCCCAGCCCTGACATCCCCTGTTCCGAGGCCCCTCCCAGCTCTGACACCCCCTGTTCTCAGGCCCCTCCCAGCCCTGACATCCCCTGTTCCGAGGCCCCTCCCAGCTCTGACACCCCCTGTTCTCAGGCCCCTCCCAGCCCTGACATCCCCTGTTCCGAGGCCCCTCCCAGCTCTGACACCCCCTGTCCTCAGACCCCTCCCAGCCCTGACATCCCCTGTTCTGAGCCCCCCAGCTCTGCCACTTTACCCCGGTGTTACTGAGAGCTCAGGAGCCTTGGGAAGATGTAACAACACTTTTAATGGGGCTGTTTTAGCTTAGCTTTGACAGGGTAGGCTGGGCAGTAGGAGTCAGGAGGTTGGATGCGGCCTCTTGCTCATTCTTCTCCCTCCTTCCCCATCCCCATATTCCTAAGGAGAGCTGGGCATGGCCACCGCTGGGCTTCTAAGCCTGCCACAGGCCAAGCGAGAGTGACCCACAAGAGTCAGGCTGCCTCCCACTCCAGACCCTCGGCCAATGACAAGCATGTGGTCAGAGTGGACTTCATCTTGCACCTTCCCTTGAGATGACAGGATGTTCCTTCTGCAAGTTCTCTGGTCTTAGTGATCCCCATCTTTCACCAGCTTTGCCTCCAAGGACGTCTGCCCACCTCTCCAAGGATGGGCCTCCTCATTCAGCAGCTACCCCCACCCCCAAACACAGTGGCACAGACTGGATTCCCATGACCCCAGGCTCAGCTGGGCTCTTTAAATAGATTCCTCATGACCCCAGGAATGCTTGGGAGCCTTTGGGAGGTGGAGTGGAAAGCCAGAGACGGGAGCAATGCAGCAGAGAGCAGCCCTGCCCCTGGCTCTCCCTTTCCTGGAATGAGCTGAGCATGCTGTGAATCCTACCTCTGACACCCGGCAGGGTGAGGGGAACTATTCAGCCTCCAGAGTCCTCAGGGACCCTCAGCCACAGGAAGGAGAAGGGAGGGGAGGCGCCAGGGTTCAGGCAGGACACGTGGCTTTGGGCTTGTGTGGTGGGGGACACCGATGCCCCATTGGAACCTGGGTCTTGGAAGGTGAGCTATGCAGACCCCAGGGGGCTGCCCCAGGCCTGCCTCCTGGCCTTGCCCCTGCCTCCTGGCTGCTCCCTCCTCTGCCCAGAACAGACCCAGTCATCTCCAGGCCTCCTCCTTAGAGGGTAGGCTCCGGGAGGGCAGGGAACCCCGGGGCCCAGGGCCTGGCCACCCGGTGCTCAGGAAATGCTTGGATGACCTCTTGTTTGCACCCAGTTACTTTCATGTTGTCTTCCTCATTAGATTGGGAGCCCACAGAGGGCTGGCACACAGTACAGCTTAACTAATGCTTGTTGACTGACTGCCTGATGGTGGGGGGGGAGGTGGGGAAGGGGGAAAGAGGGAGGGCCACTAGCTTCAGGCCACAGGGCGGTAGAAGAAGCTGCCGCTGAGCACCCTCCGCTTGAGCTCCTTCATCAGCAGCTGCCGCTCGCGCTGTGCCCCCTTCATTATCCCGCGGTTCTCCAGGGCTCGGCGGGACAGGTACGGCAACACGTCCTTCACGGGGCCATATGGGACGTATTTGTAGACCGGAAAGCCAGCTTGACCTGCCAGGTCCCCCAAAAGCCAATTACTCCCCACTCCAGACTGTCTTGGGGGAGGGAGGCTCCCAGGAGCACCAGGACTTTGAGGCCCTCGAGGTGCAGCTGCCCCAGAGCGAGAATGACCTCGGTTCTTCCCCAAACAAGTGGTCATTGTCCAGCCTGCCTGAAGCCCCCGGGATGGGAAGCTTGTGGCTTAGATCAGGCCTCGGGGGGCCTCTTTCCAAGTCCCCCCTTTGGCCCCAAAGAGCTGGACGCTCCTCCCCCTCTCCCCAGGCTCCTCTTCCTCAGCCGCTTTGATACATGGCACTGGTCAAGGACGCGGCCTAGCCAGGGCCAGTGGGACCCCCGTGCAGCCCATGGTCACCATGGCTCTCCCGCTGCCACCTCCCACCTGACCTGGCTCTAGCTTCCTGCCTGCGGCTTTAGGATGCCTCATGAAGCACCCGCCACCTTGAACGCGGGACCAAGGATCCGGCTTGACCTTTACTCCCATCAAATGTCAGCCTAACCCACATCCCTACTTCACTTTAAGGTGTGTAAAGGGGGTCTTGTTGGCGTTGCTATCCCCATTTAACAGAAGGGGAAATGGAGGCTCACATATCCCGAATTTCCATCAGAAGGGACTGGGGGTCTGCCACCTCCCAGACAGTTCCGATTGCTGGCCTGGGGCCTAATGCCGTCCCTCTGGGACTTCTCACTCCATCTGGAGCCGAGACCTGACAGCTCCTGTGTTCGAATTCTACCTGTGACACTCACTACCTGGCTGACCTTGGGGGCAAAGGCAGTCATAATGATGGTCTCATTCAGCTCCCTGGGCCTGCCTCAGTTTCCTGGCCTATAAGCTGCCTGGCTGGCTCTGCAGGGAGGATCTCGCGTTCTCCCTGGGTCTTTCCTTTCCCTTCCTCAGCCCCCTCAGTGCCCTCATAAGTTATAGGTTCATCTCCTGTGCCTCGATGACTTCTGGCTTCTCCCTGCCTTCACGGCCTGTGGCTGGACCTGGAGTCCATAGAGACAAGGCCCAGCCCCTGCCCTGCCCTCTCCTGTTCTGTTCTGAGGCTTCCTCAGAAGCCCTGGGGCCATGGCTGGGGCAGATGGGGGCACTCCCCAGGGCAGAGGCCCTTCCCCGATGTAGGTAGCCAGCCTCCCGGGAAGCCCCTGGGACCAGGGGGCACTGGCTAAACTAATCACTATGGAGCAAAGTGGGAGCGGGCACCACTCACCCAGGGGGAAGGAGATCTGATCACACATGCCCAGGAGCTGTCCAAAGTACACCTTCCTCTCTGTGGGATGCAGGCCCAGCTCTTCCATCCTGCCAAACAAAGGCCAGGGCTAGGGGAGAGCCAGACCCTGAAGGGAACCCACCCCAACCTAGCTGCAGACCCTTGGGGCTTCATCCAGCTGGCTGAGGAGCAGCCAGAGACAGAGACCTCACCACCATGGCCGAGGGGCGGCCAGGGACAGAGACCTCACCACCATGCCCGAGGAGCGGCCAGGGACAGAGACCTCACCACCATGCCTGAGGAGCTGCCCACCCTGCTAAGGGTCAGCGCTGATAAGCAGTAAGGCCCTTTTCATACCAAGCCCCAATCTCCTTCCCTTAGAGGCCAGGCAGAACAAATCTCACCTGTTTCTCGTGCGCCAGCCCCGGGCTCAGAGCCCAGGGAACGCACATTCCTGTGAGCTGCCTGGCCCACCCAATGCCCTTGCTTCTAGACCCCGATGTTAGTCTGGGCTCCTGCCCAGGCCAGCCCCAGTCCCCGGGGTTGACCCTTCCCCCACCCTCTGCATCCTGTCAGATGAGGGGTAAGACTAGCCCAGGAGAGGCTCCATGGGACGGTGTGGAATTGGAGTCACAGGCCCCGAGTTTGAACCCTGCCTCCTGCCTAAAGGAGGGGGCTGGGCCGAGGGCCTCTGACCCCACATGCCCTGCACCCACGTAACAGCCCACATTTCTTGGAGCTTTAGAGCGTCCCAATGTTTTCTTTTTCCACAACAAACCATGACGTAGTATGGTCACCTCGATTTGGGGATGGGGAAACTGAGGCTCTGAGAGGCAGCAGCAGCGGCTGGAGCCGCAGCTTTGCCTCTGGAGGTGGGGTACTCCTGGTGAGGAGTTGCCTCTCTGTGCAGATCACTACCCCTTTATGCCTCCCCTCCAGGATGGGCAGAAGATGGAGACCAGGCTCCTCAGCCCCTCTGGCATCCCACCCTCTTCCTTGACACTTTTCCCATCTCAAGGCTTGGGGACAGGAGGCAGAGCTGGTGCTCGGGGTCCCTGCTGCCTCCTTAGGAGGAGCCCCAGGCCAGCTGGCAGCGGCCAAGAGTTAAACCAGGAGCCAGTGAGAGGTCCAGGAGACCCATTCCTCTAGGCTTCGGGCTGCAAGGCAGGAACCATCCCCCTCATTTTCTGGAGGAGCTCGGGGGGACCTTGTCAGAGCCTGGCCAGGGGCACAGACCCAGGAAGGGGGGAGCCAGGACTCCTTCCCCTCCTGCTCACGGCTCCCAACCCCCTCAGAAGGGGACCCCTACCCCCGAGGACAGGCAGGGGCTCATCAAAGCTGGCTCCCTGCACGCAGCAGGTGCCTAATCATGTGGGCCAAACAAAGGGGCAGCACCTTGGGGGAGGGAGGCCTTGGTGTCTGCCTAGGGTAGGTGAATCTGGAGGGCGCTGGCGCTCAGGCAGGCACCTCTACCCAGGGATGCCCAGGGCCTCATGGAGCCTTAGGGACAGACAGGGCCCCCTCCTCCACACAAAGCTCGACTGAGTGACATCTCCAAGGACACACGGCTGGCTTGGGGAACGGTGGAAAACCTGACCCCACCTCTTACTTCCAAATTCTGGGCTCTTTTAACTATAGTATGTGCCCCCCACCATGTTCACAGAGGAGGAAACTGAGGCACCATATGTGTCCCCCAGCCCACCCGGGGTAGAAGAAGGGGACACAGGGCGGGTGTGCAGCTGGCCCGGCTTGCCTGTGGGAGGGCCCCCACCTCTGAAGGGTGAACCTGACCGTGTCCTCATTGTGAGAGGCCACCATCACGCTGGCCCAGCTGCTGTGCCTGATCTCTTCCAAGATGTGGTTGAGGCACCTGGAGGGAGCAGAACGACCGTGAGGACCCCCAGAGATCTCAGGGGTCCAGAGGGGTTAAGTGACCTGCCCAGGATCACTCTGCTTAGTGGGGGAGTGTCCAGGGAAGGATCTGAACCCATGTCCTCCCGACTCCTGGCCAGGCTGTCTGTGTGGACATTGCAGCTCAGAAAGGAAAGAGAGCCACCCACGGCTGCACGCAGTGAGCTAGTGGCCTCCTGTCTCAGCTGGACTGCCCGTGGCTGGTGGGACTACCCTCCTTGGGTCTCGATGGGGAGGGGGGCGGATGGCCTCTGGGGTCCTGGGGAGGCCCCCCCTTGCAGCTCCCCTGCCCCTGTCCACACCTCTTATTCTGCCTCAGAACCTGGGAGCCCCACCCCTCTCTGAGAGCAGGCACAGAGAAGCTACAGCCTGACCCTCTGGCTTCTAGCTCCCCACCCCAGGCCTCTCAGATCTTCCTTGCCCCTCCCAGCCTCCCCCCCCAACTCGCTGCATGCCAGGGGTCCCCCTACCTGTGGTACATCTCATTGGTGGCCATGTAGGTTGGGTTGATGGGGTCCTCATAGCCCACTTCTGCTGCCCGTTCACGCTCCTGTGTCATGTAGGCCCCCCTCACCAGCTTGGCACCGAAACACCAGCCTTCCCGACGGGCCAATTCGACGTCTAGCGACACGCTGTCATAAGCGTCCTGGAAGAGAGACGCTTGTGAGGGAGGTGATGGCCCCAATGTGGGGCCTTGGAGATGCCAGACAGACTGATGGACAGACAGAGAGGATGATTATGGCGGCTGTGTGTGTTTGTGTGAAAATGTAAGTGTATGTATGAGAGTGAGTGTGTGTAAAAATGTGTGTGTGTGTGTGTACACGTGTAAGAATGAGTATGCGTGAAAATGTGTGCGCATGTGTGAGAATGAGAACGTATGTACATGTGAGAATATCGTGTGTGTGTGTATGTGAATGTGTATGTGAGTGTGAATATGGGTGAGAACAAGTGTATGTGAAAATGTGTGTGTGTACATGTGAAGATGTATATGGGCGTGTGTGAGAATGTGTATATGTGAATGTGTATGTGTATGAGAATGTGCGTGTGTTTGTGTGTGAATGTGAGAGAATGTGTGTGTGAAAATGTGAATGTGAGAGTGTGTATGAGAATGTATATGTGTGAAAATGTGTGTATGTACATGTTAGAATGAGAGTGTGTGTGTGTTTGTGTGTGTGTGAAGGGAAGACAGTAAGCACGGCTGGAAAGGCTGGTGGCAGCTGGGCGGGGGAAGGAGGGAAGGCCCCCTCCAACACCTCGCTATCCCTCCACCACCCCTGTGCCCTCCTCCTGCCATCTGCCTCCCTGGGCCTCCTCTGCCCCTGCCTTCCTCCTCCCACACTGGCCTCGGGATTCCCGGCCCTGGGACGCTGGCCTTGGGTGGGCCCCTCCCCTTGCCTGGCCCTACCTGAGGGCCTGAGCTCTGGCCTCCCCCGGCCCCCTCCTCCCTTCTTCCTGCTGGGCCTGAGCCCCCTCCCTGCTCTTCCCCCTTCTCACTCCCTTCCATGGGGCATCCCCAGGGAGAACGGGCTTTTGAGGGCGGGAAGGTCTGGCCTGCTGGTTCTTGTATCCCCAGCATAGTGCCTGGTATACAGGAGGTACTTAATAAAGGCCTATGGCTGGATTTCGTGGTGTTCCTGAATTCATGGCAATCATGGATCTCCTTAATCAACAGAAACACCACGATAACTCCATCAGTAGGAATTGTGAGGTCTTCAGACATTAGGAAGGCAGGCTTTGGAGCAGGCAAGTGTGGCTGGATCTGACCATGAGGGCAAAGGCCTGGCCCCCGGGCAGAGGCTGTGGAGGAAGGGGACATTGTAGAAAAGTGGCATTGGCTCGAGGCCCAAGGCCCAAGCGAGATGCTCTCCAGCCTCACTTCAGAGTCGGGGTCACGGTTGGGCACGGGTGCCTAAAAGTGCCTCTACAGCCTGCTACACAAGCAGGGCCAGGCAGGACCAAAGAGGCTGTCCAGCCCAACCCCTTCATTTTCCATGAGGAAACAGGCCCAGGGAGAGGAAGGGACTTTGCCCAAGGTCACCCAGGTAGGGTCTGACTCCAGCCACTAGGAGCTACCCAGCAGGCCCCGGCCCCCACCTCGGGGCTCCCAGGGCAGACGCCTGCCTGCTGGCATTCGAGCCTGGCCCTGCCCCGGCCAGCCTGGAGGCCCTACCTTCAAGTAGCACTGGTACGTGTTGAAGATCACCGGCTTCTGAGTGTTAAATTTGCGCTGCATCTCCAGGGTGAGGCGGCTGATGGCTGGCTGGAAGTATGTCTGCTCTGCGTCCACCATCAGGCACACCCCGACCTCCAAGGCCCTCTGCACGGGGAGGGGAGAGCAGGGACCAGGGTCACCCCAGGCTCCGGCCACGGACACTGCTGCCCAACGCCCAGCACCTCCCATATCACATGCTATCCGCTGTCCCCTGCCACTCAGCACCTCCTGCCACCCCACCCATCTGGCCCAGTCTGATCCTGACATGAACCCTCGAGCCAGGCTCAGCCTCCCTACTCTCCTCCTCCTCCTCACTTAAGCCTTTACAGGCCCCTCCTGGGACCCCTGGGAGCAGCCCTCCTGTTTATAGCTCCTTCCTATGGAAACCATCTCCTTGTGTCGTTCCCCCCCCCACATCAAACGTGTTTCCATAGTCCTAAACAGTGATGTTGGGTGGGGTCTGCATGTCCAGGTATCACCGGCCCCTCCTCTCTGGACATGCCTAGAGTCTCCCATTTCAAGTGCGAGGCTTCAGGTTCCCAGGGCTGCTATCTCCCTTGCCCTCCTCCCTCAGAGACCATCAAGTTCAACACTCATGTGACAGATGGGGAAACTGAGGCTTGAATGTGGAAGGACAATGCTGTTCAGACCACATCTGGGAAGTGTGGAGGCAGGATTCAGTTCTTTGGGCCCTAAACATCGTGACCTTTCTCTCTCCCCCCACTCCATGGGGTGGTCCACAGAGCCTGACCTTGGCTAAGACATCTATCCTCTGCAGCATCCTCTTCATCTGAAGGTCTTCGTCCTCTGTGAAGTGAGACAGGAGGGGTTCCAGCTGGCCAGTCTGCAGGGAGAACAGCGGGGGTAAGGATGGCTGCCCCTGCAGAGCCGGGCAGGGAGAGGAAGGAAATGAGGCTCGAAGAGAAGGGACTTGCCCAAGGTCACGTGGCAGGATGCCTCCCGACTCCAAACGTGCTTTTCCCTCCCTCTGCACCTCCTGGACAGATGGGGAAACTGAGGCCTGGCTGCCTGTGAGCAGGTGGGGCCAGGCAGAGGTGCCTGAGCCTGGGACCCTCCAGGGGTGCCCGCTCCAGTGGGCTTCGGGGGGGGGGGCTTGTTTCTAGAACCCGGGCGGTCCCTAGAGGGCTGTGGGGCGGCTTCCCGGGCCGGGAGGACAGAGCTGCGCCTCTGGAGTCTCCAGCTTCCGGGCCCAGCCCATCATCTCCAGCCAGAGTGGTCCAGGTGTCCTTCTCCATCCCCATCAGCTGCTCTCGGCTGCCTCCAGTGGTCACAAACGGCACTGCATGATCAGGCCGGATTTCCTGCCACATTTACTAGTCCCAGAGGGCCGTCAGAGGCCTTGCCTCCTGGCGTCCTTACCCTCAGCCCAGGAGGACGCAGGGGCCAACTCACATTTGTCTCTGCCTTCCCTGCTCCCAGCAGGTGCTGAATGGAGGCCTGTGAGCCTGGGGTGAGGGCAAATAGCACTCCCACCCCTTTTACAAAAGGGGAAACTGAGGCTCAGAAGCTGAGTCGTTTTTGTGCAGTTGTGTGGCTGTTAGCAATCGGCCAGAACAAGGAATGCAACAGTACTTTCCCCAAACCCCACCGACTGCTGTGGCCAGGGTAGGATCATAGATCCAGGCCTGGAAGGGACATCGGGGCATGAGTCCAATCTCTCCATTGTCCAGATGAGGAAACAGGCCCAGGGAAGCAGAGACTTCCTGAGGTTCACCAAGGGACTGAAGGGTCAGAGGCAGGATCTGAACCCAGGCCCTGTGATTCTGCTTTTTGTTTCCCTGGTCAGCTTGATGTCTCCCTTCTGCAGGAGCCTTCCCTGGTGCCCATAGCTGCTAAAGCCGTCTGCTCTCAGACTTGCTTGGTCTGGCTGGTATGGCCTCCTTTAGCCCGGGTGCCGCGCCAGGGCAGGCATCACCTTCTGCCCTTCTCAGTGCGTAGTCTAACACCTGGCACCCAGCAAGTGCTTAATAAATGCCCCATGAGCGCCTCCACACTCAGCTGATGGAGTCCACCCTCCCCCACAGCACAGGCCCAGAGAGGGGCAAGGCTGCTCCCCAGGGAGGAGGTCACTGACACCCAGGCCTTCTGAACCCAAGGCCTGCGATCCTTCTGTACCATCAGCATCCACAGGGGTCCAAATCAGGGGTGATTTCAGAATGGAGGGACAGAGCCCTCCCAGGAGGCCTCAGCAGAGCCTCAGTAGCTACCAGCACCTTTCTGGGACGTGTGTGTGTGTGTGTGTGTGTGTGTGTGTGTGTGTGTGTAAGTAACCCGGGGCCCTGGCCAGAAGTCCCCATTGATCCCTGCTGGCCAGGCCCCTGGAGTGGCCCTGGGCCCTCGGTGTGGGGGACACAGGGTAGCTGGGCCAAGTCCAAAGGCACATAGGTGCAGCCTGGAGCAGCCTTGATGACTGGCAGCTGGGCTGAGGGGCCAGAAAGCACCCGGCCTCCTATATCAGGAGGTGGGCAGCGTACTTTGGAATCCTGACTGACCACTGCCCGTAACCCCAGTGTTCTCGTGGGGCTGCTGTCAGGTAAGAATGAAGTCTGAGGGTCACCCCGAAGAGGACAGGGTGCCTGGCAGCAGCTGGTCACCACTTACGCAGTGCCCATGAGAGAGCAGGCCAACGTGCCACCAGGGAGGTCCTGTAGCCAGGGGAGGGCCCAGCACACTGGGTGGAAGCCCTTTGGCCTAGCAGGTAGGGAGGGGTTGAGAGCGGCATTACTGCAGGGGACGTCCAAATGGGGAGAGCCTGGATTCATCAAGATAGCAACATGGCCCTGGTATGGGGGACAGGAGCTGCAGAAGGGAGGGTGGAGACAGTTGGGGAGGTGAGAGGTGGGGGGGGTGAGGAGGGGGAAGGGGGAAGAGGGGGAGGGAGAGGAGAAGAAGGAGGAGGGAAGAGGAGGAGGAAGAGAGGGAGGAGGAGAAGGAGGGGAGGGGGAGGGACAGGAGAAGGAGGAGGGAAGGGGAAGAGGAAGGGAGGGAGGAGGAGATGAGGGAGGGGGGAGGGGGAGGGCCCCTGGCCTCCATACCTGTACATTGGGCACGAGGAGGAGTCTGGACAGCTGGGTCCTGTTGTCGATGAGGCTGTTCCAGTCCAGCAAGTCCACGGTGCTGAGCAGAGGAGGGCCGCCATTGGACCACTGGCACGGTGGCCCCTTGGGCCCTGCCCCCCCCCGGGCCATGGTCCCCCTCCCCAGGCCACACCGACACCGGGGCTGAATTTGTCTTAGCCGGGCCACCTCCAGCAGGCGCCCCTGAAGCTAAGGTGAGGCCGAGCTGCACCCGGTATAGACACTCATGCTGGGGAAGTGGCAGGCCCTCCAGGCCAAGTCTGGCGCTTGCTCGGTCCCCCCCCACCCCCAGGTCACGGCTGAGGACACCGGGGGGGCATGCTTCCTGCGGGTGCCCCCGCCCCACTTACCCGGACACCCCCAGCAGCTCCCCTGTGAACCAGCTCTGGATCTCGCACTTGGCGGTGATGCCCATGCTCTCCAGGCTCTTCTGCAACATGAGCACAGGGGATCATGGGCCGGTGACCCCAATCCCTAAGGGGGTACCCAGGGACCTACTGCTTGGGCGGGGAGAGGACGGAGGGTGATGGTACTTCACCTTCACAATCTCGAAATAGAGGCAGAGCTCGCCAGCCAGGGCGTGGCCTGGCCCAGGACCCAGGACCCTGGCCCGCAGCCCCGGCCTCCCGAAATCCCTTCACCTCATCTCCTGCCCCCAGACACCCGGAGGCAGAACCTTGACAGGGAGGATCAGCTGCATTTTACAGAGGAGGAAACTGAGGTTCAGAGGGGCAGGGTCACCCAGCTAATCAGTGCAGGAGCGGGCTTGGCACCCATGACCCTTTCATTGTGCCAGATTGCCTCTCCCTGGACCCTGGGCACGGCCAGGCTGAGCTCCACACAGCTGAGGGCCGGCCGCAGGGTCCACCAGGGCTCCCTCGGCCATCCAACCAGAGCCGGACAAGCTGGCCTCTGCCAGCCCTTTGGGTGGCTTGAGAGAGGACAGCCAGGCTTCTCTGGCTGCCAGGCCGCTGGGGCCCTGACCCTCGGGCCCCACCCGGCAGAGCTCATGGGCTGTGGGCCCTAGGCCAGTGGCTTCTGCCTGAGCTCTGCTCTCCTCCCAGGTGACACGGGCGATTCTGCTGCCCGTGGTGGGATGGAAGCTTCAGGCACAAGGGAGAGAAATGGGTGCTCGCATCAACGTAAGGCCCGGGCTGCCCAATCCAGCACCTGGACTGCCCAAGTCATGGGACGTTTTAGACCTGGAAGGCTTCTCAGAGGCATCACACAGGCCAGCCCCTCCTTTTTCGGATGAGGAAATGGAGGGATCTGTCCACGTTCACCCAGTGCATGCAGGATTCAAACCCATGCCTCCTGATGGAGGGCACTGCCATCCTCTGCCACCCAGAGAGCTTGGCCACGCACCTGCAGCTCTGACACCTGCAGCTTGGTCTCCATGGCTGGAAGCCCGGCCTGGCCCTGCTGGATGGCGATCTGGTGGAAGAACCGCCTCCACTTGGTCAGCACCTCGGAAAACTGCAGCTGTGGAGGGGCAGGGCAGGGCTCAGGTAGAGGGGCCGCTGCCCCCTGGGCCCCCCTTCCCGTCCCTGCCCCCCACCTGGCCTGTGGGCGAGGGCAGGGATGGGCCCCCAGGGAGAGCTCAGCATCGATGGATAATGGAGCCTTATGAGCAGACACGTGTGCCCTCTCCCCGCAGAGGCCCAGGTCCTGCTCTCAAGGGGCTTACACTCTAGGAGGGCAGTTACCACCCCCGGGGGTTAAGGAGATAAAGAACAAAGACAAAACTATGAACCGCCTCCGGAAAGGTGGGTGGGTGCCAGCCGGGCCGGGGAGGGGGGATGCCAAGGGGCCGGGTCACTTACCAAGAACTGTGGCCGACCCAGCGCGGTGAGCTTGATGGCGCAGAAGCTGTCGTCGCTGGCGCTGCCTGCCAAGAAGCCGACAGGAGCCATCATCGGGGCCCTTTCCTAAAGGGCCAATGGGGCTCAGGGGGAGGAGTGCCTGGGGCGTGGGCACTGGGGAGCCGCGGCCCTGGCCAAGGTCCTTCCCTTGTCTGGGCCCGGCTCTGGGCACCGCCCAGGGTGCCTCACTGCTGCCACCTGGAGAAGCCAGGCTTCCTCTCAGAGGACTGCTTTGTGGCCTCTGAGGACGATGCCCTACTAGTCCAAGGTCCTACCCTTCCCTGAGCAGGAATCCTCATGGGGATTATCGCTGCCCCATCGATCTCCACCATGATGGCCACTCGGTCATCACTGATTAGGCGCCTACTGGGTGCTGGGCACATGATGATGCTGGGCTCCCACCACCATCTCCCACACTACCGCTGGAGTCAGGAAGCTTAAATTCAAATTTGGCTTCAGACAATTATTCACCAAGAGACCTTGGGCAAGTCACTTAGTGACACTTAGGCTGCCTTAGTGTCTTCATCTGTAAAATGGAGATGATAGAAGTACTGCTCTCTCCAAGTTGTGAGACTCCAACGAGTTCACACTTGTGAAGTATGTAGCGAGCCTGGCACTAGTAGGTGTCATAGAGATGCTGTTCTTGTTACTATGATGTCCCTCTGGGCATCAGGCCCGCCCTGCCCAAGCTGGCCCAGCCTGTGTCCTCCCGAGGAGCACATGCCCTGTGACCATCAGCTTTTACAGTCTTCCTTGAGGGCCTGGTCGGACACCGCCCCGAGTAGGGCATCAGCTGGGCCGTTTCCCGGCCATCTAGTGAAGCCCCATTGGCTCCAGTCCCCTCTGCCTCTATGCCTGATGCAGCCTGGTGGGGACACAGGTCCTCCTGTGCCACGGTGGAAGCGGGGCCCAGCACTTCAGGAGACCTTTGTCCAGAGAAGTAAAGCACCTTCTCGCCCGTGGCATTCTGGAAGTGACAGCCCTCCCCTCACGGCAGTCCCCAGATGAATGTTCCACTGTGCCCAGGTCTGACCCTGTCCCTCCCCTCCTCAGTGCCCTCTGGTAGCTCCCTGGTGCCTTGAGGGTCCAGCATCAACTCCTCTGTTTAGCTTTCCAAGCCCCTCACTGCAGGCTCATTATTTATGCCCCCTGAATTCTGGCTAAACTGGCTTTTCTCTCTGTTCCTGACTCCCACCTCCGTGCCTTTGCACGAGCTGTTCACTATGCCTGGAACGCCTGCCCTCCTCACCTCTACCTCTCAGATTCCCAATTCCTTCACGATGCAGGGAAAGCTTCTGCACAAAGCCTGTCCTGGGCCCCCCGACTGCCCGGGCCCCAGACGGCCTGGAATGGATTCTCTTTGCATTTACTGAATGGTAGCCTTGGGGACCTCCCAACTCATCCATCCAGGTCGGTGGGTGGGTGAGGCTTCTCTAATATCGTCTGGAATCGGTCTTTCTAGTCTGAATCTCCAGGGTCTGGCTACGACCTTCTTGTGAATCTGATGGGTGTGTGGGGCCGAGCTCAGAGATCTTATGGCCCTTTGTGGTGAAACCGAGGCAGAGGTGGCCGACCGAGCAGTCGGGGAGGCTCTGACCTCAGCAGGGGCTTCCACTGACCGCAAAGTCGAGCTTGTCCTAGGGAGTGTCAGCCTGGGGAAACTGGCCAAACCAGTCTTACTCTGAACGTCCTCAGGAACCACCCTGAATTCCCAAAAAGCAAACTCCTCCAGACTCCTCCAGAGGGCATCCCACAAGGCCCGCATGATCAGGGTCCTGCACGGACGTACTGAATGCTTGAAGGTCTGCAAAGCACTTCACAAACTTGATCTCCTGAGAGGGAGGGGCTGCGACTGCCCCCATTTTACAGATGAGGAAACAAGCAAGCAGCAGGGAAGCGGCTCGTGCAGGGTCACCGAGGGCTCCTATCACTGCCCTCCGTGCTCCAGGTTCCAGTTGAATCTGCTATCTCTTGTGCACACCCTGCAGCTCCCACCTCCAAGCCTCTGTTTCCTCCTCCTTCATCCAAAGCCCGTCTTCTCTGCCTCCTCCAGGCAGCCTTCCCTGATCCTCAGCCAGCGCCTGGCTTGCCACGTCCTTCTTAGTGGAACGGTGCTCCCGCTCACCACCAGGTGGCATCTCCATGAACGCTGGGGCTACATTTCTTTTAGAGCAGCACAGAGCTCTGCGTACAGTAGGTGCTTAATAAATATTGGACAAATTTGTTGATTTGAACCAGTTTTGATCCTGGCTCTGCCACTGACTTACTGTGTGACTGTGAGGCAGTCATTCTTTGTGTCTCTGGGCCCCAGTTTCCTCTTTGGCAAAACGGGACGGACCACGTCCTATCTAGCTCCGATCCTGTCTGAGCTGCTCACCCCGCCCCCGTGGTCCCCACTGCTCCCCATTCCAGAGAGGGGCGCCTGCTGAACCTCACAGGTGGCATGGAGAGGTTGCCATTGTGCACTACCCACCTCCCAGGGCCGCGCTAAGACCTGGTGTGGGGCCGGGGGGGAGGCCTCTGCCAGGGGCCGCCCGGCCCAGGGCCGCTCACCAGAAGCATCGATGCAGCGCAGGAAGTTCTCCATGTGATGGTCGCACTTGGCCTCGTTGGCATAGAAGTAGGTGCGGGCACCGGTGACGCCGTCCCTCCGGTCCCCAAAGGCCCGATGGACCTGGAACTGCTTCTCTCTCTTACCAGCTCCTGCACCAAGCAACGGCCTGTTGGTCAGCTCTTGGGGCCGGGTGACCTGGGGCAGGTCTCTGGGCCTCAGTTTCCTCCTCCGGGGCCCCTTCTGGCACTAAACTTATGAACCATCAGTGCTGGGCCCTTCCCCTGAGCCCCTGCCTGGCCTCAGGTGGAGCCATGAGGAGAACCCAGCCTTTCAACTCAGGGAATGTTTCTATGCCTGATGGGGAGAAGTGGGGACAAGCCAGGGAGAGGGCCACTGGGCCAGAGGTCACAGAAGGACAGCTACAAGGGTCTGGGGGCTATTCAGGCCAACCTCTCACTGGAGGCTCCCCACACCTGGGGCTGTCTGAATCCAATCCAATTCTACACTGGCCAGGAAAGTGCCAGGCACTGGGGACCCAAGTGAAAGGCCATGCTTGGGAAGTAGTGAGCCCCACCCTGGCTACAGAAGGGGCCTCTGCCAGGTCACAGCCCCTCCCCCATGGGGCCAGCTGTGGGGGCCTCTGAGCCCATCTGTCTGTCTCTGCTTCCTCCCCTTTCTTTATCCCTTGTTCTTTGCCTCTTCTCTCCCTCTCTTCCACCCCAACCTTCTCTCTCTCTCCCCCTCCTTTCTTTCTTCCCTCTGTCCGTCTGTCTGTCTGTCTCCTTTCTTTCTCCTCCTCTGTCTGTCTGTCTGTCTCTCTCCCTCCTTTCTTTCTCCCCATCTGTCTGTCAGTCTGCCTCTCCTTTCTCTGGCTTCCCTCCCAGCTCTCAGGCCAGCCACAGATTTTGTGAAAGCCTGGAAGGGCTGGGGAGGGGCGGGCCCATAGCTCTAGCTCCTTCCACCTCGTGCCTCACCCCCCTTCCTGGCAGCTAGGTGATGGGAAGGAGGCTCCACACCTGAGCCTGGGCAAGGTCAGTCTAAGCCAGGCCTCTAGGCCTTGGAAAGCAACCTCTGGCCTGGCACTGGAGCTGAGAGGGAAGGTGAGGTACAGAAGTTGAGTCATGCTCCAGGGAGCCCCTTGGCATGTGGGCAGGGGCTGTTACCAAGCAGCCAGGGCCGGAAAGCTCACCAGCCCTGAGGAGAGCTCTGCTGGGAAGGGGCTAGCCCCTGGCTTGGCTGCAGAGAAACCACAGAGCTTGGCCCCATGCTCGCAAGAAGCACCACCTTGAAGAACCAGAAAGGCCCCCACAGAGTCCCCCTCCCGCCAGGCTCTCTCCTGGGTGTCCCTGGGGCTTGTCCATTCTAAGCTTGGATCGGATCGGATCCCTGCTCAGACATAGGGTCTCTACTCAGGGGCCCCTGACCCACCACCCGCAGGGGCTGGGCCCACCTCTCTCTGGGTCTGGGGACCCGCACAGCTTCCCACTTACCACTGCCGTCTCTCTCTGCATCTGCCGTGCAGGAGCTGCAAGACACGGAGAAGGGTGAAGGGCCTATTGCTTCTCCCAGGGATTCGCTCTTCTAGAGCAGGGGCGGGGGTGAGGGGAGAGGGGACAGACAGGGCCCCTTCTAGTCGGGGCCTCACTTCCCCAATTCACCAAATCAAGTGCATGGCATTCTACAGGGGCCAGCCCAATCCCCCCCCCCCCCCATTTTACAGATGACACGGAGGCTCAGCTGGGGAGGCTGTGACTCGCCCAAGGTCATGCAGTAGCCAGTGACAGGGAGGCTAGGAGTTGTTTCCACTGGGCCGTTGCCCTGCCTTTTAAGCTGGTGTGATGACAATGGTGCCGCATGCTAGGCACATCATGGCACAGATGCAGCAGAGAACAAGGCAATGGGGGGGAGGGAAGGAAAGACATTTTACAGCTGGTCTGTTTCTGCCAGAGCAGTTTTCAGGCTGGGGCCTCAAAGCTACAGAAAGAGAATGATGGGTTACTTTCTCAGGGCTGCCCAGAGCAGAAAGAAGCCTTTTGGGGACCCCCTCTCTATGCAGGGGAGCCATCGGCAGTGTGGCTGTGGGGAGGCTATCGTCGGCCGGCTGGTGGTCAGATGCCCTTCCCGCTGTGGGCCATGTAATCTAGGGGCGATGATGCCCGCAGTCCTGGCTTCCTGAGGCTGCTGGGAGACTTGTTAGATGTCTGCAGTGTTCTTACGATGCCAGATACCTCTCAGCTCTTTCTATGGCCCTAAGGGCTATGGGACCTCACTACTTTTTCCATTTTAGGGAAGCCCACTTGATCAGGCTGCTGTGGGAGGAACAGCGTCTACCATTTGCCTGCCCAACATTCACCAGGGATTTTACCGAATCAACAAGCATTCCTCACTAAGTACCCACTGTGTGCATGGCTTTTTGGACTGTCCCTGTCCTTGTACACACAGGATCTGCTGGAGAAGGGTCATCTAGGTGGGAAAGGCTGTCCTTCAGCCAGCAGATGGCCCAATCCAAGCTAGAAGCATCCCCTTCCCCCAGTCCTCCAGAGCCTCTGGCCATCTCCCAGCTTTTATCAGGGCTGAGCAGGAATCAGCTCTTGGGGTGGCCAGGGTCCCCAGGCCCACCCTTATCTCCCTGGGGCATTGGCACTGTGTACTGGCTCAGCTTCCAGGCTGCTCTCCCTGACCAGTTCAAGGGGTCCTCCAACCACCGATGAAATGATGGGCCACAAACTTTCATTTGTAGGGACTCTCAGAGCCCCTGCCCGGCCCATGCCCACTGACAACTTGTTGGGGGGCTGTCCCTAGGATTAGATCTGGTCTGTGAGTTACAGCTGATGAGGACTCCCCGGGCCCCCAGAACATAAGCTCCTTGGGGAGCAAGGACTTTTTCCATCTTTTTCTCCCCAGTGCTGGGCACAGAGCCTGCCCCCAAGGGGCACTTCAGAAAATAAACCCGTTGATTGTTTCGTCCACCTGTGGCAGAGCAGGTGCCCTTCCCAGGCTATTTAACCCAGGAGGGGTGATGTGGGGGGAGGTGGAGAGCATCCCCTGAGCTGGGCCTGGGGCAACCTCCATCTCTGTGTCCTAGTCAGGGGAGGTGGGGCTTCCTGGATGACCCTAGGCTTCTTAGCCTCCAGCCCTTCTCTTCTCCAACCATCCTGGAGAGCCAGCTGCCGAGGGGAGTCAGTCCAGACCACCACTCCCTTGCTCAGTCAGCACCCTGGGCTCACTATTACCCCCCAGGATCCACTGTAAACTCACTTTTCTATTTGGCCTTGGAAGTCCTTCACGGCCTGCCCCTATCCTAGACTCTTCCGGCCTCATGACACCTTTCCTCTCCTCCAGGTACTCCAGAGTACAAGGAAATGGGTGCCCTCAATGTGTCCCCCTTCTGGGAATCTACTCCCTCCTCCTGTTGGAATCCCTATTACCATCAGCTGCAGAGACCCTTCTCTCTTACTTAACGCAGTGGGAGCTGCTGCCTCTTCATTCCAGGCTAGAGAAACATCCTGCCCTGCCCACCCAAGCTGCCCAGCAGGCCTCAGGAGGCCTCTTCCTGGCAGCTGCATTCCATTCTCTGGGCTCACAGGCTCGGCCCTGGCTGCGGGGTGGTGTGGGCCAAGGGGCTCCAAGGAATGGCAGCCACCAATGGCAAAAGCATTCATAGGCCCCTGAAACCCATGGAGCTGGATCAGCCAGGGCTTCTGCAAGAATGCTGGGCTCTGAGTCAGGACTCTTTATCCTTCTGAGCTGGCTAATCCTGGGCAAGTCTGAGCCTGATCTCCCAGCAAATCAGAGGATCTCAGAACTTCAAGGAAAGGCCTCTGCCTGACCACTCCCCAGACCCGAAAGAGCATGACCTTCTACGGCCTGGGAGGCCCTGGCAGGGCTGACCTTCCCCGGCCTGGCCACTGAGAAGAAGCTGAGACATCTCTGGTGGGAAGAGGTCTCTGTCTCTCTAGCGCCGGAATGAGCAGCCAGTACTGGGCAGCATCCAGGCTGAGAGGTAGGCACCTGGGTCCCGGCCCTCACTGGGTGCTCCCTGTGGAGGCTGCCTCCATCAGTAGGGAATGACCTCTGTGTCGCTGCAGGTATTCAGACAAAGGTGGGATGGCCACAGGCCAGGGATTGTGGAGGGGGTCTCTGCCTCAGGCGGAGTCAGACTGAATTATCAGCTGGTTTCTTCACATGCAAGGGACAGATTACCCCTCTTACTGAAGACTTTCCTGATTGTCCAGAAGCTGCCCCCCCCCAATATGGGGACAGGATCAATGGACATGGCCCCCCAGGGCCCACCTGCTTCTCCTTGGTCTGTGTACCTTTTGCACATAGTAGGTGCTTACCAACTGTTTATGGACTGGAGACCTGGCACAGAGTACTCGATCACTAAGTGCTTGTTGATGGAGAGGATTTGGGGCTGGAGGGGATCTTTAGTTTAGCTTCCTAGTTTACAGATGAGGAAACTGAGGCCCAGGAGGGTGGCCTGTCTGTGGTTGTGTGAGCCACTCTTCGGCCCCCAACACTGCTCCCCCGCTCTGTCTCTACTTCCTCAGAACCACAGACTTTCCTAAAAGACTGACCTGACAGCAGTAATACGAAGGCTAAGACAGACCATCAAATGGAAAAATCTGAATAAAATGTGTAACAAGGTGGAATCATCTTTGTCTCAGTCCCAAATACCATTCACCCTGGAAAGACTGCCAAGTCAGGTGCTGCCGCACAAAGCCAACAAATTCTTGATGGCTTAGCTCTGCAAACAAGCCTTGGCACAGCCCTCCTACCTCAGGGTTGCCACCTTGGGTGAAAGGCGCTCAGAGTAGCAGGTCCTGAATTGTCACTAGATTGGCTCTCCCTCCTGGGGGTGTCCCTTCCTCCAGAGCAGATTGCAGCCCTCTCTCCTCCATGACTTTCTGCAGAGGATTCCCCTCGCCCACAGCTGGGGGCCAGTGCAGCCCATGGGCCGGCCATCTGTTCTCTCTCACTCCATGCCCAACCCTCATCCTCTAGAATCTGCATTTTCCTGGCCAACATCTGTAAATCACTGTTAGCCTACCACCCTGCAGGCCTCCATTTCCCCCCTTTGAAGCTTCAGGAAGATGTGAGAGAAGAATGGGAGCAGGAAGTGCCTTTCATCTGCACATCTCTAAATGGGCCCTCCACCCTCCCCTTCCCCTCCTGCCATTGTATTTGTCTTCATGAAGCTGCATAGGAGCTCCCACTGCCCATGCAGGCTGGGCACCTTCCCTGTGGCCAGGGGCACAGAGGGTGCCAAAGCCCACACAGTAGGTGCTCCATAGATGCCTTTCTGCAAGTTTGGCCCCTGAAGAAGGGATGAGGAGCCCTGCAGCTCCAGTAGGACTCAGGCTAGGGGGCATAACTGGAAATGAGAGCCGTAAAAACACAGGGGTCTCCATTCAATTTTTAAAAGATGCCTGTTCTCTCCTTCAAAGGTTACTCCTTCAAAGGTTGGCACTTTAGCTGGAAGGCCCCTGCCTCCCCCTCACCAGGACTCAAGACCCCCCAGCCTCCCTGCATCGATTGGCTGTGGGGGTGGGGTATGCTCCCTAGCATTCTGGGGAGACGGAGACACACACACACACACACACACACACACACACACACACACACACACACACACACACACACACACACTTTGGTTGGAATCCAATTCTCAATGGTCCAATACCTCAGGACCCAGGTGGGATCAGGGAGTCAGAAGGGAGGAGACCTCATGGGTACCAGCTGTGTGGCCATGGGAGGGGCCCTCTGAACCTCAGTTTCCTCATGGGTAAAATGGGTATAATAATTCCTTTACAACGTCTCTCTCAGAGAAGTGAGGAAACACACAGTAAAAATTGGTGCTTAATAAATTGTCACTGATTGGTGAATGAAGGTCTCTATTACAAGGGGCAGGACCGGGATTTCACCTGGATAGGGAGGAAACTCTGGAATAAGTTAGCTCCCTTCACCAATGCAGCAACTTCCGAGTCCCAGAGCTGCCCAGGGCACAGAGAGGTGGACTGCCGGAGCCAGAGTCACAAAGCAGGTGTGGCTCAGGGGCAGGATTGGAACCCGGGTCCTCTAGGCTGCAGCCAGCTGTCCATCCCCTATACCTCCCTGCCTCTGATGCTTATGTTACATGCTTAAGAACAGCCAGGAGCCAAGATGTGTCTCGATAATCATGCCCAGCCGCCCGCCACCCTCCTGCCTTCTCTCTCCTCTCCCGCCAGCCTCCTGACACCTGCCCAGCCTTCACTCTCTCCTGGCTCTAATTCACCTTCACTGAGCACCCCAGGGACTCTCCTCAATGCAGACCTCCCTCCCCTACTCGGTGAACTCCTGAGGCTCCCTGTTACCTCCAGGAAAAGTCCACCTTTCCCCTCATGGCTCTGCCCTGAGTTCAGCCTCAGCTTTCCTCCTCACCCTCTGCATTCAGCCCAGCCCGTCCCTTGGCTCTTCCTCCCACAAGAGACTAATTTCCAGTCTCCAGGCTTTTGGCACAGGCCAGCTCCTCTGCCTGGGGTGCCT